TCGAGCTAATTAATCAATCTTATTGTCCTTGCTTTAAGAATAATTTATTAACTACATACATTATCATTGAGTGTAACAAGGGGCTTATAGTTGGTCGAATCACAAAATCAAATACTACCTCCTATTCTTTTTAAATGTCACTTTGGTTTTATCAACATTAACCAAATAAATGTCGTTTCGAATTTTATGTACATATTTTTCCATTATTATCCTCACTTAATTAGTTAATAAATACACTATGTCTTTTCATATTCACTCTTCATATTTTCTCAAAACAATATTCATCTATATCTTCATTAATAAAGGTTATTATTGGCAAAAATAATATTCTTAATTATTGTGTAACTTCTCAAAACGACGTTTATTATGAATAGGAGGGAGTATCAAGTAAACCTGATGAAAGAACGAATTCAACATTATTATGTGGAGACTGGAGAAGGAAATTTTTAATAAGAGGGTTTGCTAGTTTTCATTCCAATCATTTTGATCCCAATTTTAGTTGTAAGTACATGCATTCATATAAACGATTTTGAATTGTTATTCAAATCAAATTGTTTGTGAACATAGTTCAATTCGGCTCGTTTAAATAAAAAACTAGTTGAATTTTGAAAGATATTTTTATTTTGGCATTAGTTCGTTAGTTCGAACAAGCACCTGGAACCACAGAAAAAGGGAAGATCTTGAATTATTTTATTTCTTTAGTTAAGATTATTTTGTATTCCATATATAAGACATTGTGGATCTTATTATGGTATTTTATTCTATAGGAGATCGAATGTAAAGGAGATAAAGAAAGGAAGGAGCCGTACATGATTAGGAGATCAAGAAGAAAGAGAATGGGAGATTCACTTACCTAAGATAAGCTATAACTTTGGAAGGAAATCAAGCTTAAGAGTCCTATGCCTTGAAGAAGACTCCAACCCTAAGGAGTTTGTATAAATACCCTAGAGGAAGCTCTTATTGCGGCTGCTGAGTTTGGAGATATTTTTAGAGCAATATTTGAGCTTCGCTTTTCTATCTTTTTTTTCAGTTCAGTTGTACACAGTTCAGTACGAGAGTTCTTACAAACTCAAGGACTGAAGCTGTTTTGTTTTGGATTTCTTTGTTTCGTCAAACTATATTCTGCTTTTTACACTTAGGGAGTAAGTGTACGATAAAAAGTCCACGGAACGTGGCCGGAGAAATAGTTGGTAGGATCGTGAGTAGTGTTGGCTAGGCTTAAAGGGAGTTTGAGTCGTTGTAAGTCCAAACTATGTTCGTGTTCGATCTATCAATGAAAGAGCTCTGAGGGGAAGTGGGATGCTTCCCTGAAGAGTTTTTAATCTTCGGTTTATTGCTTCCGCATTATTCAGTACTTAATTCAGTTCGTACCACCAATAAGCGCACTCCGTGATAATTTTAGATAGTAAATGACACAGTCGAGTCGGATTCATTTGTAAACGAACATTTCATTTTTCACGCTCCGCTCCCCGAGAATTTTTGATATATTAAACGAGTCAAACTCGAGCTCAATCCAATAGACGCTTAGGGCATGCTTGTTTATGGATTTTTTCAATCCAATTTTTTCAACTCAAATATTTAACTCAACTTTAACTCAACCCCACTATCTTTAATATTATTCATACAATTAAATAATAAAATCAACTTTAATTCACTATTCATCCACTCACATAATTTTAACTACCAATCATTTCCAATCATTTATCTCCTACTTTATATCAAATCAACTTTAATCATTTTTATTTTAAATATTATTTTAATATATTTTTTAAATTTCACTAACAATTAACTACATTACTTTTTCAACTTTAACTATAGTTAACAAAATGAAATATTTTGGTTGAAAAAATCCATAAACAAGCGCCCCCTTAGTAATTGTGTACTAAGTTCGAAACTTGAGCTACTTGATTCGATCTCAACTTGAATATTACCCTCTAAAATGGTTGATCGACACGCCACGAGCCCACAAGTAGCTATTTCGTAATACACTAAAATAATTTTATTTAAAATAAGAAAAAATATGACAAGTTATTATTAATAATTACTTATTATTGTCATTAAGATATAATAATCTTTTTGGGTTATCTTAAAACTTTTGAAGTGGTATTTGTTATTTTCATTTCTCTACATATAATTAATTCTTCACCACATATATATATATATATATATATTCTTAACATTATTTCATCATTATTTCATTTTTGTACAAATTAATTTGCAAATGATATGATATTCAACTTTAATTTCTAAATGGATGGGAATTTCAAGAATTTTAATCTTTATTGGAGTTTGTGGAGATAGAAAAATATATGGTGATGATAATATAGATATATTTATTTTACAGCACGCACAGATCGACGACAATTTGTGCGCAAATACTTAGGTGCGTCCTGACACACTTAGTAAGGTATGATAAAACAATTTAAAATGAATATGTTACATAATAAAATGAACATGTCTAAAGATAGTTTAGCACTGCAATTGGTGCACTCTATTCCTTCACATCTGCCAACTTATCAATAATCATCATCCCTTCGCGTCTTACCACCATGCACGTGACCTCACGTGGCTTCCTTTTGGATAAAAAAAATCACAATTTATTATTTTCACCTTTCCTTTTTTCTTTTTATGTTTTTTTCTTTTTTCTTTTTATGTTTTCTCCTCTTTATTTAACTGACTTGAGTTGAATTTGACTGGTTATACAACTCACTAGAACTAGAAAATAAAGAGTTTTAGTTACATTTCTGAACTTTTAACTTAACTTAGATTAGTTATAACTCAAGTTCAACTTGTTGATATTGATGAACGGGTGAAACGTTAAAATGGGTTATATGGGTCTCGGTCCAACAAATAATATGATTTTTCTCTAACAGTCCAGTAGAATCGAGAGAGGAATATGATGTCAGCTGAGTGGGTCCTCAATTCATTTGGGCTAAGGCCCAATTGATGAGATAACTGCATATTCAAATCAATTCAATTTTTACAAATCGGACAACAGACTACTAATGAAAACCAAATTTGAGAGAGACACATATTAGGACTGCAAACGAGTCGAGCGCTCATGAGCCGCTCGCGAGCGTTGGAGTCAAAGCTCGACTCGAGCACGAACTCGATTCGAGCTCGAGTCCATATTTTGCATTGTCGAGCAGCTCGATATATATATAATTATATATATTAAATTTCTAAATACCCCTTATATATATTTAAATAGTATAACACAAGTGTTTAATGGTAATTTCACTTAAAAATTTTCGATCCGAACTCAAACATTGGTTTCGAGTCGAGCTCGAGCCGAGCTCTTGTATTTTCCTATCGAGTTGAGCTCGAACCTCATAAATCGAGCTCGAGCAGCTAAAAAAAATATAATCCTGCTTCATAGGGCCAATGCTCGACTCGCTCGTTTGCAGTGACACAATAAAAAATTGACAGGGGTTTTCCTAGATACTTGAGTAGCTATGGGCTAAAACAATCGGGCTAATTCTTCTTCAAGAATCATATATGTTGGAATATGCACGCCAATTTTGTAATCTTTCTGGATAGGCCTGTTTATATCATGATTCCCATATGGGCCTTGAGACTTGTATAGATAAATAGCCCATAAGCAACACATGACAATATGTGTGAAAAGAAGACAAGTTTAGCTCGACATGTTTATCAAACGAACCGAGCTCGATAACGAGTCGGGTTCGGATTGGCTTAATGAACAAACCGAGCCGAGATGAAGGTCATGGTACTTGAGCTCAGGCTCTTAAGTTAAATGATCCAATCTCGAGCTTAAGTGGTATTTTTACATTTAAACAAAAAATTACCTTGTGCATGATAAATAATTTTTTTGAAATGTGTACAAGTAGTCCAAGAAGGTGTTTACAATTTTGGACTTCGAATTTTCACAAATCTAGGCGAGATAAGTGACATAAAAATCGAAAATCAAAGCAACCCAATATTATATATACAAAATCCCACTCAAAGATTATTATTCATTTATTATTACACACACACACACACACACACACAAAA